GGCTCGTTTGCAGGCGGAGGCGGCGAATACCGACCCGCCGAAACCGGGTCCATCCTCCTCCGGGATAAACCTCAAGGGTAAAGGGCAGGCTACGATAGCCAACCCTAAACAACCCGCGGGGAAAAAGACCTCAGGGTCAAAGAAGAGAGTGAGGTCTTCAACCTCCACACCTCCGGCAGCTGAGAAGCAAAAGAGGATGAGGAGGCAGGAGACTACCTCTAGAGAACAGAGCTACAGGGAGGCGGCTGCAAGTCATCTCCGTGTAGCTGTGATTGATGTGCAGCATCCACTTGGTAAGCTGACTGCTGGCCAGGTGGATATAGTACAAAAGGGCCTGATGGGAGCGCTGGACAGGCAACTGGACCAGTGCTTGGCATCGGGTAGACAAGCAGCCACTTTCAGGGGCATGAAGTACACAGGGGAAGTCCTAAGGATAACCTGTGAAGACGAGTTGTCCCTGAAATGGCTACAACAAACAGTGCGCTCCCTAACACCCTTGTGGGAGGGCGCACAACTTAACGTGGTCCCCTTGGCTGAGCTACCAAGGCTGGTGAGGGCGACCCTGTGGATACCGGGACCACCGGTGGATGCAGGAGTCGTACTTCGCCGCCTGGAGGGTCAGAACCAATGGGCCCACGTCAAAAAATGGCTTCTTTTCCATCGCGAGGCCAAACCCGAGGCTGCCTCTCCAGGCAACCTCTTTGTGTTTGGTCTTGGGATGGAAGAGGCCAAGATAATCAGGGAGAGAGAGGGCAGAATTAATTATATGCTGTCCTCTTTCAACCTGAAACTCAAGGAGAACGAGGCGTCGGCTCAGGAAGGGCGGACCCCTATGGAAGAGGTAGAAACCCCAGGGGATGAAGCCTCTACCAGTGGGGGCGGGCCCGCCTGAGAATGTGCCTCGTGTCTCCTAGGACAATTATGGGATTTTTGGTTGCAGAGATGGCGCTGCAGCAGATAAATTTCATTCAGATTAACCTGCAGCATTGTCGCATGGCGACGACTGTTTTGTGTCGTCGTCTAGACAAGATGCAGAACACTATAGCAATAATCCAAGAACCATGGATTGTAAAATCCAGGATCGCAGGGTTGAGCAATTTAAATGGCACTGTTGTTTCAGGTACCACAATAGAATCTCCAAGGACATGCGTCTACATTCCGAGGAAAATCAAAGCCGTCCTCCTACCTCAGGTCAGCTCCAGGGATGTGACTGCGGTAAATGTTAAGTGTAACATAGGAAGAGGCGAAGAGCAACTGGTAATAGCATCTGTGTACTTACCACAGGGAGCACAGGAACCATGTCCAACATGGGAAATGGCGAACTTGGTGGAACACTGTGATACCGGAAATATAAACCTCATCATCGGTGCCGATGCGAATGCCCACTGTCTGTTGTGGGGGAGCAAAGACACTAATGATAGAGGAAGAACACTAGCTGAATATCTTTTATCAACAAATCTAGAGATTCTCAACCGAGGCTGCGAACCAACTTTCGTAACATCACGTAGTCAGTCAGTAATAGATATTACACTGGCTACATGGGATATCTCACAATATATAATGGGATGGCACGTCTCTAAAGAGGCGTCAGTGTCAGACCATAGATGGATCATGTATACATCAAAATGTATAGACATGGAGATAAAGACGTACAGGAACCCTAGGCTGACGAACTGGGCTTTATACAACGAAGAACTGGACGACAGACTGGGGACCTCCGTGCAGTCTATACCAACGGAATACATTTCGACAGAAGACATAGAGAAAACCTTGACCATTATCAACGACTCTCTAATGTCAGCGTATGAGAAAAGTTGCCCCCTAAAGAAGGAAGGTCTGGGCAAAGGTACACCATGGTGGAACCGAAGGCTCAGCCTACTTCAATCGGGGCTAAGAAAACTTTTCAATAGAGCAAAAAACACTAAGAAAACTGAAGACTGGGAAGCCTATAAAGAGCACCGGAAAGAGTTTAAAAAAGAATTAAGAAAGAGGAAACGGGAAACGTGGAGATCCTTCTGCAGCGACATAACGTCGACTGCTTCGGCCGCAAGGCTGAAGAGAGTTCTCTCGAAGGACCACACACATCAACCAGGTTTCCTAAAGAAAGAAGATGGCACCTTTACAGCCACCTTAGAAGAGTCCGCAGAACTTTTGCTGCAGACCATGTTTCCAGGCAGCACACGGACTACCTCCCATTCCAAAAGGGATGTAGTCGGTACTCAACCTTCCCCGAAGGACTGGGCGCTGGCTGCAAAGGTAGTCACGGAGGCAAGACTGGAGTGGGCAGTGGACAGCTTTTCCCCATACAAATCTCCAGGAGTTGACGGTATTTATCCCGCCCTCCTGCAGAGGGGAATGAGCAGACTACGCCCTATTTTGTTGCCAATGCTTCGGGCGTGTCTGGCTTTCAGCTACATACCGAATGCATGGCGAAAAGTAAAGGTTATCTTTATACCTAAGCCAGGACGACAAGATTACACCTTGGCTAAATCCTACAGACCAATTAGCTTAACATCATTCTTGCTGAAAACGCTAGAAAGACTAAGCGAAAAAGAGATTCGGGAGACTGCTTTGAGCAAGCAACCTCTACATCCGAACCAACATGCCTACATCCAAGGAAGATCCACCGATACGGCCCTACACACAGTTGTAAACCGTATAGAGTGGGCGATGGAGAACAAACTCTTCACCTTAGGAATGTTTTTGGATATTGAAGGAGCGTTTGATAAAACGACCTTCAAAAGCATAGAACTAGCCCTACGAAAGCACGACGTGGACCCCACCCTAAGTAGGTGGGTGGCCAGTATGCTGAGGAACAGGGAAGTAATGATTAATGTAGGTGGCACTGAGATCGAGGCTGTTGTAGACAGGGGATGTCCTCAGGGAGGAGTTCTCTCTCCTGTACTGTGGGATACTGTCGTTGACAGCCTGATACGACGCCTCAATGATCTTGGCTACCACACAATTGGATACGCGGACGATCTAGTCATTCTGCTAACAGGAAAAAACGCAGATACATTATGTGAGATAATGCAAGCTGCAGTAAAAATAGTCGAGGAATGGTGCAACAGACATACCCTCTCCGTTAATGGAGAAAAGACGAAACTAATCCTGTTCACCAGGAAAAGGAAAATTGGCACACTACAGATGCCAAAAATATTTAACACAACGCTTCAACTTTCGGACGAAGTCAAATACCTGGGAGTTGTATTGGACTGGCGACTGAATTGGAAGAAGCATGTAGATGATAAAGTAGAAAAGGCACGCTCGGCTCTCTGGCAATGTCGTAGGGTGGTGGGAAGGTCGTGGGGTTTAAATCCCAAGATCGCCCTTTGGATCTACACGGCAATAGTCAGACCGATGCTGTGCTATGGAGCTTTAGTTTGGTGGCCCAGAGCCAGACAAAAAACAACAGCCCTGCAACTTGAACACGTTCAGAGAATGGCGTGTCTCAGTGTTACAGGAGCAATGAGGACCACTCCCACAGCGGCTCTGGAGACTCTTCTTTGCTTAGCACCTCTCAACCTTTACATAGAGGAAGCGGCAATGACGACGTCTCTAAGACTTCACTCTCTGGGAGTATGGAACAAGCAAGGCCGCACAACGAAGCACACTCGGATCTTAACGGAGGCGTTCAACAGAATACCCTTGTTGAGGATGGGTTGTGACCGAATGGGCACAAAATTAATATATGAGAAGACATATAGAATATCAATGAGTGATAATTCAGAAGGACGAGCCGACATAGATATCTATGTCGATGGTGCCAAAACAGATAGTGGTTCAGGAGCCGGCATCTACTCCGAACAACTGAACGCACAAATCAGTGTACCTCTCGGCACCCACACGTCTGTCTTACAAACAGAATTGATGGGAATAATGCTGGGAGCTAGAATCATTGCTGAACGTGAAATCGGCAACAAATCAATACGCATACTTACTGACAGCAAGTCTGCACTACTAGCCCTGGACAGCTGTATGGTTCGATCCGGGCTGGTTTGGGAGTGCAGACAAACGCTAAAGTATGTAACGCAGAGGAATAGTGTGGTACTTTGTTGGATCAAAGGACACAGTGGCAACGAAGGAAACGAGAGGGCAGATGAGATGGCGAAGCGAGCCGTGCGTATGCCCTTCTGGGGACCCGAACCGGCAATCACGCCTTCGGTCGCCCTCTCGAACGAACTCGTAAAGCAATATACCCATAGACGCCATGAGCAGATATGGGCGACGTTGAGCAGCTGTCGGCATAGTAGAGCTTGTATGGCGACACCAGACCGTAAGTTGACAAAATTTTATCTCTCACTTTCAAGGGACAAACTGCGTAAACTGGTAGGATTCCTTACGGGACATTACCAGTTTAACAAACATCTACATACGATAGGGGTAGCAACAGACCCAATCTGTCGTGGATGCAATGAAGAAGAGGAAACAGCTGAGCACATTCTTCGTGAGTGTCCAGCCCTAGCCTCCTACAGGGAATCCATACTAGGGGACATCTGGCCTAGTATGGCAAATATCAGGGAGTTTCCACCCTCTGCATTACTCAAGTACATTCAAGCAGTTGGATGGCTTGACGAGTAGAGGAGCGGGAAAACACCCTGATATGGACTTGGGGAAGGTACAATGGGCCCAAAGGCGAGGCCTAAGTGCCGGCTGGCTACGGTCAGCCCCCATAAATTAAGAATCCAGAATCCAGAATCCAGACAACTGTAAAGTGTGTTGACCCAAGACTTCGTGGGCGCTCCTGATTAATTGACTACTAACTGGCAGCCAAAACGCCCTCGTCCAAATTCCCCTTTCCCAAATTTGCGCCTAACTTCAATTCTCAATTAATCCGGCCCCTCGTCAATCCGCAAAAAATCAGCGCGCCCCCCATCTTCAAACAATTGAAAGCGCGCAAAACGCGCTGCGCAGGCGCCGGCCCATCGAGCGGGCTTTGAATGCTGCATGCGCGATTCGAATGTCTTCCAGTGCTTACTACGATGCAAAGCGGTGTAGTGGGTGTTTTTTTTGAATTATCGGTGCACGTGCTTTAATTTCGTGTGTGATCCGGCCTTTGCTGTGTGCCCGATGTGCTAGTGAATGATTTTTTTATCACTGCGACCGGATTACGCTGGGTGAGTGTCGTTTATTTCCGGGCTGGTTCCGGCGGCGGTCGTCCCGAATTTTTTATTTTTGCGGCCTTATTGCTCTGATTGCGATAATGAGTGGTGCGGGGGTCCTGCGAACGGGTTGCAAGGATCTAGCCGGTTGCCATGGCGACGGCGCGAAGGGGTGGTTTTTCGGGGCGAGCGCGGTACCTGTTGCCCTTTTCTTGGAGGTGTCCTTTGAAGGTGTCTACCTGTAATTGTGTGTCTAATTAGGTTGTCGGCAAAAATTCGGGGTTGCACACCTGGAGGGTGGCTGTGCCGTAGAGGTGAGGCGGTGTGTCGGTAGTAGAGATGGGGATGTGGGATGGTCGAGTGCCCACATACGGAGCGAGATTTGTTTATTTTTAGACTTTGCGCTGTTATTATGACAAATGCAATTTTTTGTTCCGGTGTGACACATAATACATTATATCCTTTCATGAATTTAATGGGCGACGTCATCGTGTCGTTTTTCACTAAAGTGGCGCTTTTTCGCGTTCTTCTGGGAATTTTTGACGCGCAGATGTCACAAGTGTCAGTTTGTTTGGATGCGGAAAACATGTGTCGGTAACCATGGCAACAAATTTCGGTACAGATGGTCTAATTTAGAACACCTATGTATTTGATGATTGTTTTATAAATTAAATTAAAATAATTGCATAAACAATATAACAATAATATTAATAAAGATTTAAAGAATGATAACAACGTCAGGCTGAATCCGAATCAGGCCTCAGATGTTGGGTTAGAATCACTGTCATTTGAAACATCTGTCAAAGATATAGAGGAATTTTGACGAGTGCTAGTGATTATAAACATCAAATTGTCCTTTTTTTTTCAAATCTACGTTTCTAATTTTCTCAGACATGGAAAGTCTGATTTTGAATGTTTAAATTTTAATTACTTTGATAAGAGGATTTTTGCCAATCCAGCCATTGCACCACCGAGACCCTGTATGCATTAAAATCTATAAATAAATATTATTTAGATACATCAGACAGTGAATTATTACATTTGATGGGGTTTAATGGAACGTATTTCGCTTCAACTCGAGATACGTTTTAATATGAAAGTTAGCATTATTTTTATTATTCTTTTAGGCTTTGGTTATTAAAACAACATTTTTATTTTTATTAGTGTTGCGTTTTTTCCGGACGCAAAAGTTCAGCTTCCTAATTAACATTAAAAGGATATTTTCATTTATTATGTGAAGTCTATTTTGCCCAATTCTTTAACTAAAAATAGTTATTTTTTCTTACACGTATAGTAGGTACTGGAAACTGTAGTTGGCAGACCTAACTTTTAAAGCCGCCCATAGGATTACTATAAAGTATGAACTTCTGTCAGATATTGTTTATTACCCTTCTATTTATGGATAAACACCTGCACAGGAGCGTGCGTTTTTATGTAGGTAAAGTACGACGAAAGATAATTGCAAACGCGGTCAATTACTTTATGAGGGGTTTTAGATGTAGCTGAGTTTTGGTATTTTAGATGCGTGTTATAATAGTTATTTATGTTACAAGTGTTGAAAACAATGCAATGGAGTTTTCACACGAGTATCATACAATATTTTTTGCGCTGCCTTTTTGAAAAAATAACATTTTTCAATCGCTAAAAGAATAAATATTACTGAACCGAAATTATGTTGGTATTGAATTTATCACCAAATACGTCAAATACCAATCTGTCAATTTGTCCGGGCTAGATTTCATTCGAAATTTTATAAATTAACAGCGTTTTTAAAGCGGCAGAATGACACAAGCCCAAGAAGTCTGAAATACTTACCAGTGGAAACATTTTTATATACGGCTCCAGACCAGAGAGAATCTTGTGATTATGATTCAGCGTGTGGTTGGGAATAGCGTCAAGTTTAAACGGTTTTTTTAATTAACAAGAACTACTAAGAAACAGTAATAACATAATAGTTGTCAACAACATAAACCAAACCACCGATTAGTGTCAACTGTCAAATTACTGTAAATCTAAATTTTGATCAACAAATTCCCCTATTCAAGATTACAACTTAAATTGCACTTTTTTTAAATTTCGAGCCACTTTTTGTTATAATAACTTTAGATACATGATTATCAATTAGTGGTAATTACTTTGTGATAATCAATTTATGTTTTCAAAGCTTAAATTCCTCGTTTGTATTTTGCAGCACTAGATCCTTTTTCATTGCCATTGCGACACGCCACGTGTCAACGTAAAATGTCAATTACAACTATGGCAGCCCAAAAACAACAATTTTTAGTTAGAGCACCCGAAAACAGCATTGATTATTGCGCAAAACACTCTATTTTAGGTAGTAGTCCGAAACATAATCATTTTAATATGAAATAAAGCATGCGGATAATATGAAATATGTTTAAACCAACGGGAAAAATGTATTCTCAGTGCATGCTTAACTTCCGCTTCTTATGTTTATACTTCGAAAGAATTCCACTATTAAGCATGTGCAGATCACTGTATACTAGAAAATGAAATTTGATCGATTTTGTCTCCTTAACGCAAAGAAGAGGACTAACTATTTAATTAAGCATGTTCGGTTTTTCTCAAAAAACTGAATGTCTAGCATAGACTCATAAATTTGAAGTTTACGTCGTCATTTTTGGGGAGGTATAAACCAGTAAATTTTGATTAACGATTTACCATGTTTTCAATCACTTGAAATCGTTTGCAAGATTTCAGAATTTGAAATACAGTAGACGCCGCTTAATATGATCACGGTTAATATTATCAACCGCTTAGTGTGATCAAAATGGCTTGGAACGGTCCCACGCAATACTAATGCATTACAGTTTTTCCGTTTATTGTGATCAATATTTCGCTTATTGTGATCAATCTCGCAATTCTTATAGAAACGGGAATTGCTTTTTTGGAGAAGTGAGACTACTGAATATGGTATTGTGTTTTAATGTATATTCATTGCTTTCAAAAAGTACATTTGCTTATACTACTCACTTTGTACAACCACAATCAGTGCGTTTTCGTCCTTTGAACGAACGAATTTTTTTTCTGTTTTAAATTAGAGTACTTATGTAAAAATGAGCACTTCGAAATGACTATATCTCAGCTTATTATTATCAATGTGATAATATTTACACTTTGTATATTACCAAAGCAGTTGGAGATCTTAAGACAGTATGATCGCTCCCATCATGGATAAACCAGTGTAAGGTTGTGGTTACCACAAAAATTTCTCAGCCAAAGGAAATCGAGTGTTCCTTTCTCAGAATGGTAACCAAAATTTAAAATAAATTCTAACGTTTATGTACCTTCATCTACAGCATAATAAACACTACAACACTGCAATTGGAGTGATTTTGTCTTCTCGTAACAATTATTTTATTATTATTATTAAATATGGCCGGGCGCGACATTACTGTATTCTTATATTTTCGGCTTCTGGCGCCTAGAAAATTCCCGATTTCCAGATGGTCTCATCCTCTCGTGTCCCATATGTCTTGTCTTTGAAAGAAAGAATTTGAAAGAATTTCGGGGAACCCTTGGGTTAGTTTTTGAAGTAGTATGAAAGAATCTCGTGGACCACGTGTGTCTGCTTTTTGAAGTAGTTTGAAAGAATCTCGGGGACCCCTTGTGTTTTATTTATGAAGTATGTAGTTTGAAAGAATCTTGAGGACTCCCTGTGGAGGTTGTTTTTGAAATAATTTGAAAAAATCTCGGGGAATCCGTGGGTTTTATTTTTGAAGTAGTTTGAAAGAATCTCATGGACCTCTTGTGTCTGGCTTTTGGTGTAGTTTGAAAGAATTTCGGGGACCTCTTGTACCTGGTTTTTGAAATAGTTTGAAAGAATTTCGAGGGCTTCTATTGTTTTGTTTTTGAAGTGGTTTAAAAGAATCTTGAGAATTTCCTTGTTTTGCGTTTGAAGCAATTTGAAAGAGTCTGGGGATCAGTTTTTGTTTTCTTTTTGAAGTATGTAGTTTGAAAGAATCTCGGGGAATCCGTGGGTTTTATTTTTGAAGTAGTTTGAAAGAATCTCATGGACTCTTTGTGTCTGGCTTTTGGTGTAGTTTGAAAGAACCTCGGGCACCTCTTGTGTGTGGTTTTTGAAGTAGTTTGAAAGAATCTCGGGCACCTCTTGCGGGTGGTTTTTGAACTAGTTTGCAAGAGTCTCGGGGACGTCTTGTGTATGGTTTTTGAAGTAGTTTAAAAGAATCTCAAGGGCTCCTATTCTTTTGTTCTTGTAGTAGTTTAAAAGAATCTTGAGGATTCCTTGTCTTGCGTTTGAAGCAATTTGAAAGAATCTCGGGAACAGATTTTGTTTTGTTTTTTAAGTAGTTTGAAACAATCTCGGGGACCCCTTGTATTTTATTTTTGAAGTATGTAGTTTGAAAGAATCTTGGGGACTTCCTGTGGGCGTTGATTTTTAAATAATTTGAACGAATGACGGGGAATCCGTGAGTTTTATTTTTGAAGTAGTTTGAAAGAATCTCGAGAGCTTCTATTGTTTTGTTTTTGAAGTTGTTTGAAAGAATCGCGTGGACCTCTTGTGTCTGGCTTTTGGTGTAGTTTGAAAGAATTTCGAGCACCTCTTGTGTGTGGTTTTTGGAGTAGTTTGAAAGAATCTCGGAGACGTTTTGTGTATGTATGGTTTTTGAAGAAGTTTGAAAGAATCTCTAGGGCTCCTATTGTTTTGTTTTTGTAGTAGTTTATAAGAATCTTGAGGATTCCTTGTCTTGCGTTTGAAGCAATTTGAAAGAATCTCGGGAATAGCTTTTGTTTTGTTTTTGAAGTAGTTTGAAACAATCTCGGGGACTCCTTGTGTTTTCTTTTTGAAGTATGTAGTTTGAAAGAATCTTGGAGACTTCCTGTGGGGGTTGTTTTTGAAATAATTTGGAAGAATCTCTGGAATCCGTGGGTTTTATTTTTGAAGTAGTTTGAAAGAATCTCGGGGGTTCTTATTGTTATGTTATTGAAGTTATTTGAAATAATCTCAGGGACCCCTTGTGTTTTGTTTTTGA